GAAATCAAACTCACCAAAACCAGCTTTGAGGTGCTTTAATTAATTTTAAACAGAAATCATGATGGGGGGAGAGGAAGTAGGGGGAGCAACAGAAACAATCAAAAAAACCCAGTCCTAATTGCAAAGAAATCCTTTCATTTGTGATGTTGTTCCTTCAGTTTTAGTAATATGCTTTCAGGCTCCTTGAAGGCAGATTTCTATGAAGCAGATTAATTTAAATGCCAAAACTTGTATGAGAGGTGAAGAGCACTGAAAGCAGTTAAAAAGTATATCAAAACACTATCACATACTATTTTTTGTAATTTTGAGAGAGACACAATGCAAAACAAAATGCCAGGTGTATGTTCTACAGTCTCAGGGTGCTAGTATATGCAAAATAATTTTTCCCCTTTATAAACTGAGTAATAAGCTGCACCTGTGGATAGAAGACTGCTTATTCTTCTGATGGAATCTATAACCCACTTAGCATTACAGGGAAAAGGTTAATTCTGCTCAAAAACATGTTGTGTCCTTCAGTATCTGATTTTATGAATCATTCCATGGATAGTTGGTTTTAACAGTCCATTTATTTTTCTTCAAGTGCAGCTTTTGAAACTGAATATTTTGATACTTTCCCTGGAAGCAGATCGTATCAGATCCCTTGTGTGAGGGAAAATACAGAACCACAATAAGAACATCCAGTTAATACAAAAAAAGTCCACAAAAATGACATACTGTCTGAAGCATGAAGATTATTAGATATGAAAAGACAGATGTTATAAAGAAAAATATTCATCAAGGATAGTACAAAACTATCTACTTCAGAATTTTTATACTATTCCCTGAAGTGTTTAATATTGGTCAGGAATCTCACAGATTCATGATGCCAGAAAGAAAAGCTCTGGGACCATTCATCATTTGCCAGCAACCCATAAAAACTTGGGTAAATAGCAAGGAATGTAAGAATTAAGAGGCTATTTTAGTTTTGGATTTAGTAAACTTTCAAAAATAATCAGGGAGTTACAGCAAGATAACACTCAAGAGAACTCATTCAATGCTTCAAATTGATAGGGGATCTCAAGGAAATCAGTAGCATGAACCAGTTCATCTATACATATGTCAACATAGAATAACCCTATGAAAGGCAAAGGAATTAGCAGTTTATTTCATTCCCAGTATATTTCTGTTTGTTATAAAGTTTACTAACAATATCAAATTAATGGGAAGCATGAATAATATATGAATCTCTAAAATAAAATAGCATATCACTTATTTAATAGAAAGGATGCAAATTCAGTGAAAGAGGAAGAAAATTATTTTAAGTAAGTTCCCTTGTTAAAGATTCAAACATTCCCATTAAATTACATCATCTCTATCATTCCCTAATAATCACTGGGAAATAGAGGTCATTATTTTACACTCCCTGGTTGCTTGTTGCTAAAGTCATTGGAAATGCAGTGTGGATGAATCTGACTTTTTAATCCTATTTACACTACTCTTTACAAGAGCCAGTGCTGTTTGGTTTGGGGTTTTTTAATGGACCATTTACCAACAGCATCATTAAATTAACACCACCATGAAAAGGACGGATATCAAACCTAAGGCTGTATATCATAAGAAAGGCATCTTATGAGTTACATTTTCCTTTATTTGCTTTTTAAGGAGAAATGTGTGGTGCAAAAAACAGATGCCTCTGTTTTATCTGACTACTAGTCAATTTTTTATCATCAGGAAATAAAAGACAAGGATAAAAGAAATTGACTTGAAATAATCACCACATTATTATTGCTGCCAATAATTACGGCTACAAAGTTTTACACAACAGAATATTTATTTATGTGCTACACAGTTTCACTTAACCTTCTACTTCAGTGTTTTTCCCAGTAATATTGTTCATAATATCTCATTTTATTAGCTTCTTCTAAATAAAAAAATTAGTTCTTTCTGGTTCTTTACACAAGAAGGGCAGAAGACTTGCTAAACACCTCTCAAACTATTTCCTTTACCACTGGAAACACTTCATACATTCAGTGAACAAGCACTCTAACATTCTCTGTGTTCACCAAGACAAAAAAATAATTTGACTTATGAAGAATTTAAGAGGCATCAGATGAGAAATAAGTTGGTAATATGAATACATACTTTCCATATTCAAATCTGATTCATGCGCTTATATGCACGCTCATAATTTAATAAAATTCAAGGCAAGGAAACAAAGCCATTAGCTAGTAAGCAACATTAATATCTGTCATTCCATATTCCCATACATCCTGCATTCACTGATACAACAGTGTCTTTTACTGTCACACACTTCAAGAATTAAAAGAAAGTTTTAAGTGGCATGGTGAAGTGTATCCATAAGTAGCCACGACATTGCCTAGCTGTTTTTCTCCAAGCCTTCAAGAAAACTTCAGAAAGAACAAGGCTTTTTTTTTATAACTTTTCCAAGTTTTCCCTTTTTATGCAGAAGAAAGTCAAATGCCTAAAGACTTGCATGCCCTGTCTCAAGCTTTCCCATCAGCTGAGAATTTTTTTCTAAAATCATCACTAATCTGCAAATTGGTTGGCTTGAAGTGCTTCCAGCAGAGAAATCTAAGTGCATGCATAACGCTCCAAACTTCCTTAGAAATAAGCAAAAGTGTTTTGAAGATTTCACAGTTAAATCCCAAGTTTGTCAAGCAGAAAATTTATTACTGCAATCTGTTCAGCATGTTGCATGGCACGCTGATCCTCACAGGGACCTCTGGATTTTATGATGGCATGCAGGCAGTAAGAGACTGGAGAATAAAAAAAAGCATCTTTGACAAAGGTGACTTAAACTTTAACAGTTTAATTCCAATAATGATTAAACAAATTCCACCCAAACTTTTTAAAAACAGAGAAAATTTAAGTTAGAGAAATTTTCTTATTCAAATATCACTACCATGAAAACAATGTGTCCTCAATGTTCTCAACATGAACATTCAGTTTGAAGAACAAACAGAATGAGGTTATTCCAAACTGAGCACAAAGATGGATACAAATGATTTCCCACCAAAAGCAGCTTCTCCATACATGAAGACCCTGTGGGAAACTCATGATGGAGCAGCTTGTTCCTGAAGGACTGAATCCCATGGAAAGGACCCATGCTGGAGTAGTTTGTGAAGAACTGCACCCCATGGCAAGGACTCACACTGGAGTAGTGGAGGACTGTCTCCCATGGAAGGGACCCACATTGGAGCAGGAGTGGCACCTCACATTCCCTGTCCTCCTGTGCTACTGACAGAGAGGAGGGAGAGAATTGGGATTAAAGTTAAGCCTGGAAAGAAGGCTGGGGTGGGAGGAAGGTTAAGATTTGTTTTTTATTTCTCATTATCCTACTCTGATTTGATTGTCAATAAATTAAACTTATTTCCCCTAGTTGAGTCTGTTTTGCCTGGGACAGTAGCTGCTGAATGATTTCTCCCTGTCCTTAGCTCGATCTATGGGCCTTTCCTTGTATTTTCTCTCCCCTGTCCAGCTGAGCAGTGACAGAACAGCTTTGGTGGGCACCTGGCATCCATCCAGTATCAATCCACCACACTGGGCTATACAATCCATGCATTCCCATTGAAGTCATACTGATATAGAACAAAATGTATCATTCTATCTGACTGGTTTTTTTTCACTTAGTAAAATTTATGGGGTTTTTCCCCATTTTACACTAAAGGCCTTCCTACATCTTTTACAAAGTAAAACATTCCATGGAAAGATCAAATTATAAATCACAGAGACTTCTAAAAGTGAAAAAGGTAGTGACTGAGAAAAAAAAAAAATAACAGGAAATTATGTATACATATTATGAAAGACTAAACAATTTGAAAAATAAAGCCCTGGCCTATTAATTGCTTTTCCTTTTTCTGATAGTTAGCTCACAACAATCTTTAACTTAAACTGGAAAGCTATCAATTTTAAAACATTAACTAAGGAATTAATAAATGTTCTGCTAAACATCTTTTAAGGTGGTAAGTACTGAAGTCACCTCACTCTTCCATCTAGCCAGAAAAAATATTTAATATGAGGCAAAAACATTTTATACTTTTATAGGTTTAAATGATATTAACTATCCAACTGTACCATATAAACGTTATGATTTTGCCACTAAATATTTATCTAAATAGAAATAGTGGGAGAAAATTCTATGCTTATTTACTTCTGGGTATAAGACGACTTTATGTAAACTTCTTCCTGGATTAATAAATTTGCTCCAATCTGAGTCATACTTTCCTCAATTCTTTAAGTACCCATAAGAGGAAGGAAAACCAGGACAAAGTTATTGTATGGGTTTGAGCTAGTTAAACTTTCTCAATATTTAAAAATCCTCCTACTGAGGTTAATTCTTAGCTCACTTTTTTATTCATTACTGACTCCAAAGGAAGGAAAAAAACTACTTTCATTGCTTACATGGAATTTTTTAAAAAATACCTACAAAAGAATACACTTAAAACTTCTTTGACAAAGCTACATTTGAATAGAAATATAAATGAAAGCACAGAGTAGATTCAAAGGGCATAAGGACACCATATCAATGGATGAATTTGACAAGTCTGATCTATAACATATCCTACAAGAGTTTCTCTGGGGTGATGAATTTGTTTTCTCTTCTTTTCACTTACCATATTCTGGGTTCACTAGTATACATTCACTGGACAACACTCAGAGTATTCCATTAAATATAAATACTGATCTACATCTCTACTATAAGCTCATCACGGGAAGGGAAAGGTACAGAAGCATGAAAAGGTTATTTTGGGGCAGGGAGCGGGGAGGGAGGAAACTGAGAGAAAACAATGTAAAACTCTTTGGTTGAATACTCTATTAAAAATTACTGCAGTCTGTGCTAATACATTTCTGCCTTTGTAAGACTCCAAGTAATTCTCATGAAACATTTAACACTTACTACACACATAATAAAAAAAAATACTTAAGGGGGAATAGGAAAAAAGTGTACTATTTTACACATAAAGAGGCCCAATGCAACATACTGCTGCCAGCAAACTTACCAGTCGTCTTCTCTCCTCTTCAACAGCAATCAGGAGCCGAGCAAACTCTTTCAAGGACTGAGCTGAAACGAAAACAAAGAAAAAGAACGTTCTGTTTAAAATTAGATTTTAAGACCAGGTGAGTCAGTTATCCGGATTGAAGCTGTAGTGATAAAACACTGCTCTTATATAGTACTTCACTAAAATTAGTAGCCATTAAATGAGGCACAAACTGAAGCAAGAGGTAGGCCAAGAGCAAAGAAAAAGAATCTGAGTCTAAAGAGGCATATGTATTTTAAAAATAAATTTTTAAATGGAATATGGCAAACTGATTTTCATGAAACATGCAAAGACCAGTCTCAAAAGAAAGAATTCTATTATCAGCCACAAAATTTACTTTAGCACACTAGAAGCAGAAAGAAAAATATTGAGGTTTTCCTAATAAGGTGCAGCAAAAAATATTTGCAAAAACAATGAAAAATACTCAGGTAAAAATTTGAAAGTCAACATTTTAGAAGAAATGCCAACTGTTTAGATTTAACAGCTCTTTGGCTTTACATTTTACAAGGACAAGTTCTCAGGTGACTCAAACAGATGATTGATTTATAAGCTTTGAATGCTGTTACAAGGGTGAGAAAGTCTGCTCAAAACTGTTTTCAAATAGAAGTCAAAGGGCCAAAGCAAATGTCAATGGAAACATAACAGAAGAATTAACCCATAAAAGAGGGCAAGAAAGAGGAAAAGATTCTGAAAGCTCTTAAGGCTTTATTCTCATGTATGGAGATCTCTCTAGAAAAATCTCTCTTTCCATTTATATTACTTTCTGAAGGGTATATGGGTTATTCAGAACTCAGCATCACAGTTCCACAGACAAAAATGTCAGAGAAGAATCATGTAAAGAGAGCTAAGTATCTCTTTTTACTTTCTCCTGATACAACCAGCAGTAATTGCTACTAATGACAGGATGCTAGATTTCATGGTTTAAATCTCTGATCTCAGAATACAGATTCATAAATCCTAGTTCCTCACAATAAACTTGAGGCAATCTGAATAATTTTTGAATGAGAAAAAAAAAACCCTGGAAACAAAACTTATGGAATTTCTCAAAAGAACAGGCTTGAAAAAGCCTTCACAGTTAACCAACACACAGTGTTGAGGTTAAGCTAACCAAACTCATCTTCTTCACTATTCTTCCATTTTCCTAAGTGTTTTTACAAAATATGTCAGTCTCCATTAACATGGTTTTATACCCTCTCAACTTCCCTGGAAGATTTAAGGAAATAAGTGCATTTTCTAGGAAGTACTGGAACACAGTAGATCCTTTAAGAGGGAACCAGTATCTGGCTTGCCTTAACTGCCTTGTCTGCGTGTAAAAATTGCTACTTAGTTTTTGGACCATTCCTAAATAATTTTTATCCTTTATACCATCTGGACCTTGCAGAGGTCACCCTTGGATTTTCCTTGCTCTCTTTTAACTTTTACAGTTGAAGAACACTTTGCTGTTTGTTCCAATTTCTTCTGCAAGAACTTACATAGTCAATTTTTTGCACCTATATGTTATACTTGCATATCTTGACCTCTAAGTCATTTTTTGCTGACAAATTCTTTTTTCCCCCTCTTATGAACTCTTTGTTTAGTCCAATACACCCGGTAAGTTAAATGTGCATCTAGTTGGGTCTTGAGTCTTTTCCTTTAATATTTTCTCCTGAGAACACAAACACCAGAAGATTTTTCCAGTTATGTCAATATTAGGAACTTAGTTTGATATCCACTAAATTAACTCAATCTCTTAGAGTCAGTTTATAATGTTCATCAAAAAAACAAAAAAAAAACCAACAAACAAAAAACAGGTAAAGAAATAAGCTGATTATGTTACTGGTTACTGGTACTGATTATGTTACTGGTTACTGATTAGGTAACTGGTTATGTTACCTGACATGGAATCTGTTGAGTATTACTTTTAAGAATATTGAGTACCCAATACAACACTCTAAAAACTAAATAAACAAAGAGCCAGACAGACATGGCTAAACTATGAGGAAGTGGGGAGAAAAAAACTCAACCAGTAAGAGAGGCTTTTAATTTATATTCCTGATTTCAAGGTAGAACCAGAGGGGTTTTTAGGTTCAAAACTGAAACTTTTGTTTAGTATTCAAATAAATCCAGGTCAGTCAGAGAAAAAAAGCATATACAATATGTTCTGTAAGTCTGCAAATCAAGATTTTCTTCAATATTTAATACGAATATAAAGATGTATACACCAATATATAGGTGTATGTCACCTATACAGTGCCTCAGCTAAAGACTGAGAAGCTGTCTCTGTCTCCTCTGTCTCACCTTTGGGGGAATCATAAAGATCAAAATTTCACTAAGAACATAAAACCTACACTCTTCAGAAGCACTTAGGCAATCCATCTCCCTGATCTTAAAGGTCTTCGTTGGAGAGACATCTTCACATCAATACTGACTACAGCTCCGCTGCTCACTGCCCAACACCCAGGAAGCCATGGAATATCTCTCCCCAGCTCAGAAAGTGTGCAGGGAGAATAGATGCATCATGTAATTCACACCATAGTGAAGGATGCACACCCAGGGTGACCCCACCAGTTCTTGTGTCCTTGCAACACTACCACATACATGGAAAAAGACTTTACCTGCCCCAGTTCTCCTACAATACCCCTGAGTATCGCAGTACTATTCAGAAGTTATACATCCCTCTTCCCATACAACCCTCACTCAGGGTGGCCTCATTAAAAGGCAGTGTCTGTCCCTAGAGAAGTTCAGCTGTGCTAGAAGCCACAGCAGGAAGGGGAAAGGGAAGGAAAGACAGTCCTTGTTCCAGTTTTCCCAGCATACATTTTTCCTTTCTTTCTCCCCTCTTTTCCCACAGACCCCTCCGGTTGCAAACAAGTGACAACTCTGCCAGACCTCATTTTGGGGGTGGGCAGAGGGAGGGATGTTGAGGTCAGAGCTCACCAAGGGGTCTCAGGACTCCTGGGCAGCTCACCAGCTGGGCACTGGGCACCCAGGCAAGCTGGGCAGGGGCATCCTTCCCCTCCACAACTGGGCCCCCTACCAGGATTTCAGCACAGATCCTAGGCACAGAGTACACACACATCTAACTCTGGATTCCCAGCTCTCAACAGAAAACAAACAAATACTACAACAATAATAATCTAAGATTAAACACGAAGATTTATACATTAGACCCATTTGTGTCAGATGCAGCTCATTGTCAAGACACCTGGGCATTACATACTAGCCTCGCAATCTTTTCTGACTAAGGCTGCAATAATTTTTTCTCCCCCTCTTTTTAATCAGAATAGACATAGAAGAATTAAAGTGAACTTCGTAAATACAAAAGGGGATGGGGGAGGAAGAGTCAAGTATTTTACAAGAGAAAATGTCCTGGGAATGTGTTGAAAAGAAATAAATTCTGAAAACACATCGATAATATAAAGTACAATATGTAATCTAACTTTTATTAAATAAGAAGGTATTTTTAATTATTTTCAGAAAGAATATTTGTTATTGGTGGGCCATTTTAAGAAAAACAAAATGCTGACTCAACACTTTAAGTTATTAGGTGATATTAGCTTACAAAATCTCAACAGTTTTACAGTCTGCTTTTTATTTAAGGGTTACTACAAAAGGACTTGTAAGATACATTTGGCATCATGATGGAAATGATGCCTGTGAAAAGCAACACCCAACAGGTAAAAACCATTGTGTATATGTATCTGGCTGTACATTTGTGGTCTCAGTCATCACAATTGCAGCAAGTTGCCAGCTGTTCTCTTTGGAGTATTCCCAACCCAGCAATAATGTGCTGCAAAATTTCCCTTGATCAGGAGAAACGGTTCCTATTACTTTATTTACAAAAAAACAAAGACCCACTCTCTATATTTTTAAATGAAAAGTCTTTTAATTAGTTTGCTTCATAAGGAAGCAAACTAACAGTACGAACAGCTTAAACTTTAACAGTGTACATCAACAATGCCTTTTTTTTTCCAAAATCCCTAGAATTTCAAACACATAGTACGGCTCCACAAACAACTAAACTAACATAAACAAAAGAGAACTGAAATTTGATGTATGACTAAGTGAATGAGGGAGAAGTGAAAAGGATAAAAACGCATCTATCTGAATTTATGGAATGCATTATTAAAAATACAACTCATTTATGCTCTAGTAATCTGGTTTACTGCATTAAAATCAACCCAGTGGTCCCTAGGAAAAAAACATGTATGTAACAAACGTTATGAAGTTTTTGCTATATGCTTGTGTAGAGAATGTGTCACCTTAAAACAGCATGTCTACAGACATTACTGAAGCTACTCTATCAATCATTAACTTAATATTAAAGTGTACAGTATTATACTGTACTACTAAATGTTACACACAATAGGTATGATATCATGTACATTTAATGAGAAAAGGAAAACAAAGTGTATGACACATGCAGTAGTTTAAACATGACCAATACTGCACTCAAAGACATAAAACCAAGTTTGGAAGGTAATGTTCAGCCTAAGATAGAATGGAAAGTTACTGTGGAAGACAATAAAATGTAATGCTCTTTTCTGTGCAATGGACTGTTGGTTTAATTTTTATTTATACATGCAGCCTTAAACAATGCATAGGTAATTTTTAAATACTCTACACAAAACAACATTTTATAGCAATATGAGCAGATACCACCACCATCTTCTGATGACAGAAGTATGTCATTTGTTCTTATGACACCATGTTGTATGAAAGACAAAAATGTGCAAGACTGTCATCCTTGTATCTTCCTGATGTGACTGAGGAAACGCCAGGAGTGGGCTGCACATTGCTCCCAGTACACTTTGGCAGGAAGGTCAGTCAAGTACATCCTCCAGAAGTGGTCATATCTAGCAGAGATGTGGTATAGCCGGCTCTGAATTCATGCTTGAGCACAAACTTCAACTAAAGTCTTCAAGGGAGTTTTTCCCAGTAAGTAACACATTAGTGAATCAGAATTCAACATGGACCAATGGCCCATAAGTAAATTTTCTAAGGTTTAACACTCGTTTACTAGACTTCAGTGAGAAAGCAAAAT